AATGCTCGAGTATCTTCCTCCTCGCCTAAGTTAAGACGATACTTTACATTGACCCATGACGAGAGCTTACATAAGATAAAACTAAATAAAATTTTCTCTTATTTGTATGATCATACAATTCTAATTCAAATAAAATACCGATCAACGATAAGATATTATTATTCAATGAGTATTATTATTATTTTATATACATCGATGTCATTTTTTGAATATATTACTAATATACTCTCTTTCGAATATCTTTAATCAAATTCTACATTAACAATGGACTAAAATCCTTCAAAAATATTCTTCCGCAATTCTATTTCTCTAATCGTTCCTCATTGATCGTGGAAATGATTTTCGCGTACTTTCCAGAAACCAAACCGTCGGACGTCGTAGTAGGACGGTAATCCTTTTCAGAAAAGAAAACGAAGCCGTGCGTTGATGGTAGCCATCGTAGACCGCAGGAAATTGAAGTCATTAATGTTGTTGCTGGAGACGAGTAACGCCCATTGGTCGAGGATACTCTCCTTCTTTTCCTTCTCTTCTTACTCTTGCTTTTGCTCTTTGCGTATGCTCGATGAATGCTTGCTTGCGTTCTACGTTAGCTCGGGGCCCGAAATGCTTTTCGCTAGAATATCAACCGGAAGATGTTATCATTTTTTCCGAGTTTAATATTTTTTCTTTCCTTTTTTCAAATCTCTATTCTTAATCCTATTTTATATTTTTTTTCTCCATTTTCTTTCCCTTTCTCTCCGTTTCTTCCTTGTATTCTTTAATGATTGTTCAAGGATGTGTATCGTGAAAAAACGATAATCGTTATTAACTCATTAGAATAGGTAAGATTAGTACTCTCTGAAATAACTGACCCAATCTGTCCGCCCGTGCGTACGCCAAGCGCACGTCGCTTTTTTTCATCGAGGTTTCTAACGGAAGACGTCATTTTCGTTAAGCGGACACTTCGTGTCCTAAGGCGATAGGCAACCGTTTTACTCTCCTAACGGATTGTATGTACACGAACTTAGTCGCGGTATAACATTCGCGCTTCGGTTCGTTAATCTTCGACTAAATTAAGCAGAACGATCGACGTTGCTTCGCCTTTCGGGCCGTTAAGTCTTTACCGTCAACCTACATCGTTTTAAACTAAATGAAGAATTACCAACCATATTCCAGATAATTCCTTCTAATTTTATTACCGACCGTAAAGTAACCAACTATACTTTTAAAATATATTATATTATATTATTATATATAATATCACATGAAATATCAGAAATAGAAGTTTCTTCAACGTAGATGATACACATTCCAATCGATTGAATTGATCTGTTAAATTTATTTAACTACGATGTACGTATATGTATTAGTCAATTGACACAGATTTGTAAATGTTCTTCACTTTATACCTATATTTCATATAGATATATATTCTAGATTAGTATGTCAAAGACGTTAAATAAATATTCGTTTAATAATGTCAAGAAATAGATGAGGACGTGACTAAAATATATACATAGGAGGTATTTATCTATGAAAAACACATTAAACTGAATGTCATCATATATAATACATATATATTAAATACATTTACATCACACTTTTATAGTGCATAAGCTTTCTAACAACAAGTGAATCTGCGGGAAAGATGATTTCTAATACGTTACCACGAAAGCGAGACGCCTTTGGGTACACATAACTCCTATCTTCTATTTTTTTCTGCTTCATAAAACACCCCTTTTTCACAAGTCTTTTTTTTCTTCTTCTTTTTTTTTTTTTTTTGAAAGATCGAATGCGATGCATCGGTTTCTAATTTTCTCCTAAAACGATAAGTATCGTATTTCTTTCATTTAATCTTTTTCAATTCGAAAAGAAGATTGGCGAAAGCGGGTCATTGAGAGATAGGAATTTTTATTACTGTATATATCAAAAGGAAACGATCATTATTATTACTATTTAAACAATACAGAATGTGAGTAGGTTTTATTGTTATAACGTTATCTATCCCACGCGATTACTCTCAAGTATTGAGTCGCACATATATATATATGTATATACGTTATTATCAATACATTAATATATTTTAAATAATAATATTCTCTTTTAAGTGTTAATTGTTATTATCCTTCATGATTACAGCGTACCGTTACATTATTTCAAAGGAATAACACAGTGATTATATTCTTGTTAGACGAACACTCTTGACTATTCCATATTTGATGAAATTAACGGACGTGACTTTGCAGGGGGAATAAACAACTTGCGAATTAATTTCCTTGGAATTATTTTTTATTTTTTTTATAATGTAATTTTAATTGTCATAAGATGAGAATCAGTTATGCCCTACTTCTGGATCGTACCGTGTATAAATGAATTTAAACAAATATAAAGTAATATCATCGAAATTATTGTTCGAATATAAGTATAAAAGATTATTGTATTATATTAAGAAAATAACAGAATTATATCTTCAGTTATAAATCGAATGAATCAGGCGAAACGATTGACCGTGTTCTAAGACGAAAAACGTTCGTGTTAGTATTTTTTCAAGTGAGTAAATGTCGATTTTGAAATTCGAACTTGAAGATGGAATTGATTAAATTGTTTAACGTGTCTTATTTCTAAAATTCTATATATATATAGAATCCTACAAGAGGTAAACATAGTTACCTGTACATAGGCTGGTACATAACTTAAATTACTAATACTTAAAACTAAGAAAATATACCAAAGATAATAAGATAAGATAATAACTAATATAACTAAGAAAATATAAGTACATTGAAATAACATTAATAAACTTTAGAAAAATTTTCAACAGTGATATAACGGTATTCAGTTAAACAATATCACATATAACATTTTTTAATTTACGCTTGATAATATAAGCATTATTCATCATGTCATATATTATTAAAGTTGATATTATTATAAATTATAGAGAAATGATAATTTAATTAACGTTTTCTGCAAATAAATTAAAGATTGATAAATATAATTTTTGTTTGTCAAATTAGACCATCCTTTACAATGCCGAGATAATAATAAATGTCAATGATAAAAATTGATTAACATAATATATGATGATAGTCTCGTCAAATAGGACATCGAAATCGTAAAAATTATCTTGAGACGGATCTCGGTCCATTGTAAGAGATCGTGTATGCCGTTATGAATCTCTAGTTATAAAACGAGTCCTCCGGTAGACCCGAGCACCGCTCTCTGAGTGAAGCGCATAACTGTATCCTTTCACGGAGAGTACGCGTACATCAGAAATGAGACGAGATAGTAGTAGGGTTGTGAGGAAAAAAACACATACATACCCAGACACACGCCAGAAAGATAAACAACAAAGAAGTTGTAAGTGGCCGAAATAAAAGATGACAATATAGACCGCACGCTTTTACTCTAAAAAAAATTCAACTTCACATTATTTACTAAAAAGTGAAATTAACAGAACAATTTATATCTTTTAAGAAATTACGCACTATAATCAGAAAAATAAAAGAACGTGCATAGTCTCCAGGAACAATAGATATGCATCTCGTATTATCAATGAGAAAAATAATTAATTGATTCATATATACAATGAATGTCCCTTAATATCGTTCACGTGGAATAATATAAAATACATTAGTTTAAAAATTATATATCTATTAATTTTCTTCGAATATACAACTCAAAATCATGAAGTCACTAATCAGGAACGTTAAAACAAATGTATATTAGTTTAAACAATCCTAAATAAAAATAGAGTACAGTAATGTATTAGATTTACCTTAATTATTTGTTAATTAATCGAAAAAAATGTTTAATGTAGACTAAATTCACGGAATATAAGTTCGACGTACCGTCCTGTTCGAAATTCACTTTCAGACTGGCATGTTGTCCTTTATCAAAATACTTTTATTCGATGTTGTTTATATGACTGTTCAAACGCTGGGCATATGTGAAATGGTAATAATATTCTTAATAAAGAGAATTAATTCCTAATTAATCGATGCGAATTTCTACTGTTGCCTAAAAGCTCGGAATAAATGATATATGTACCTTGTTCTTCGAGATTCACCTTCAGACTGGTTATCTTCCAGTCTTCCATTCCTATCCTCTATCAAAATACTTTTATTCAATGTTGTTTATATGACTTTCTGAACATTACACATGTGTGCAATAGTAATAATATTCGTAATAAATAGAATTTCTTTATTAGGAAAGTCATATAAACAACACTTAACAAAAGAACTTTCACTGAAGACAACGTGCCAGTTTAATGGTGGATTTAACCTTTGCTTACCANTATATATATATATGTGCCCATAATTATGAAAGTGATCTAAGTCATGTATCTCTTGTTTCGAGATATTTAAAGATTTATGCTTGAACACTATACGAATTCTATACAATATTGAAATAACAAACATTATCTAACGATTCATTTTTGATAATATCGTGAAAATTACATTGAATTTATTTAGTTTATAATAATGTAGTGCGTAGTAACTGATAAAGTCATTTTTTATTAATTTTGACTTAGACTTTCATAATTATGGGCATATATATAGAGTTTGTGAAGATTTAACTTAATGATAATGAAATATTCTAACATTTCGAATAAAAATTTAACTTCCTTAATTTCCTTAATATTCGTGCAAATTTATAATACGATGCAATTTTAATTTAGACAGTAGAGATAATTGTTTGTTATGATTGATTGCCAGCGTTGCTAATAGATCAGTTAGATAACCTATATAATTTCTTCGGTATTAGAAAAGGTAATTTGCGTTTTAAATCATTATTCGTATGAGTTTTAGTCAATTATGTTGAGGGATACTTCCGTATTACTAATTAAATTACATTAATACTTATAATTTCTTACGTTTAGCAAGATCATAAGATAATTCTTTCTCACACACACACACACACACACACACACATTGTCAGACAAAGTAAGGAAATTATTACACGGTAATAATAAAATTAGTAACTATTAATATTTCAAAAAGTTAATCGATGATACTAACCTTGGAAAAGCAAGCCTAAGATCGGCTCTAAGTTTGTTTAACAGTTCGCTAACGGATGTAAATTGTCTTAGCGTCATTTCGCCTGCACTTCCGGAAATATAGCCGGAACTTGAGCTGGTGGTAGAAGGCAAGGTATCTTGTGAATCCTGAATAGTGCTCAAAGGTCGTCTTCCCCATCGTCTCAATGCGATCGCATAATCTTCGGCGTTGTACGTTGGTGGTCTTAAGCCAGGTTCCTTGATAAAGAACAAGAAAGATGTAATTTAAAACTATTGTCCTTCGTTTGAAATTCATAAATAATAATCTACTCAATAATCTACTCAAGAAGTGTAATAAAAATTCGATAAAATGTCTGATATGTTGAAAAAGTATTTGTGATATTTACGTTACCGTGAAAGATCGAAATTGGAAAATGTTAAAATTCACATGGTCGCTTGGTGTATATATATCCGAAATATTAATGTATAAGAATAAACCTAAACATTCGGTCTTTCCCCGACGTTTTTGGTATGTGTTGACAATTCATCATGTGTATAATATAAAAAAGGTAATACTCCAATTGCAAGTATTTCTATTTGAATTTTCGTACCGTATAGTTGAAAAAGCTGAAAGTTCGTGGACATTGATGGACAAATTGTTAGTCGATCGATTTTCTTTGGTCGGTGATCGTTCGAGCGATGCGTGACTGGAGTGTCTTTCGATGACATTGCTAGTATAGTTGAGATACCTTTTTCTATCTAGAATATACCGAGAGTTCCCTGACTCACGTGCCTTTCTTATGAATTATTTACTTTAGATGTAATAGAAGAAGAAAAAGAATTCCCTCGCTATTATATCGACTATCGTCACTTTTATTTTGTCCACCGCAAGTTGACATAAACGTTTCTGTAAGAATAGACTTACGGAACACTAAAGGAAAATTATATATATTCTTGTACAAATGTTCTGCATAAATCGAATTTATTTTCTTTTGCATTATAACAGTCTCCTCTTTATAGAATTCGCTAATACGAATAATTTACGATAGATCTTTCTCGATATAATTTATAAACTCCGTTATTCGTCCTTGAAAATCCGTCGCAAAATGACCATTCTAAAAATATTTCTAAATTAGTCCGCGAGTTCGCGTACGAGCGAATTACAGGCGCATCGAACTATGAAATATTCATGCGAAAAGGCTTCGAGGCAATCGGGAGGAGAGCGACGGCTAATTTTACGGCGCTTCGAAGCATAAATCGATGGGATTATAGTGATTATCGCATTTCCCCGTGATCCGAACACGAATCGAGAGCATCTAAGGTGCTACCGAAGCTTCTTCTACTATTTTTACTTTTTCTTTCTAGTTTTTTTTCTTTTTTTTCCTTTTATTTGGTCTTTTTATATTTTTCTCTCTTTCTCTCTCTCACTCTCTTTATCTTGTATTCAACTTAATCGGCAAGACGAAAGGCAATAGAGGAAATCAATCCTCTTGGATTCAGCAAGATTCGCTGGTCCGTGGAAAACACGAAGTAAAGCCGGAGCAGCTAATGAGAAAATTACATAGCAATTTCGCGGGAACCAACAACTCGTCGATATATCGGTGTTCAATGTTGACTATTAAGTCGATTAAAAGGTCGTTCGAGTTATTGTACTATCCTCCAAGCACTTTTTATTTTCATTCCTTTCTTCTAATTTTTATTATATACTTCTATCATCTATTCGGATATTCTTGTCAATTTATAACAGTTTTCTTTCGAAACATTTTTGTTCATTACTATTCAATTGTATAACAACAATAATAATAATAATAATAATAATAATAATAATAATAATAATAATAATAATAATAATAATAATAAAAATAATAAAAATTTAATACCATTTCGAATAATAATAATAATAATCAAAAAACCCTGGTTACAGACAGTAGTTCTAGTTTCCACATTCCTTTAGCTTTTAAAGGATCGCATGTGTATGAGAGTAAATTGAAATAACTAAAGGCAAATAAGTATATAACGTAATATATCCCCTTTTACATAGTTTCGAAAATTACGAGACTAACGCGGGAAGAAGGACAAGACAGGAAACGTAGGTCTCAGCAAAGTAGGTATACACTTTGATTTCTTATTTGCGGTCGACCGTTTCTTTCCCGTCGCACGAGAACCTCACACGCTGGATGTGACCACAAAGTCCAAGTTTCATGAATCTTCCTTGGTGTATATACGTATATATAACGAAGAAGGTAGAAAATAAGATAAAATAAACTATGTAGTTGATCTCGATCAAGTTATTTATAAATAAGAAAGAAAAAATAGTTTAAAGGTAATCGTAAGTTAGTTTGAAGAAAAAAAATAAATGACGTATAAAATATCTTGTAAAAATTCTTAATGGTTCTACGAAACGTAATTCGAATCACAGAATTATTTAACCTTTTCTTAGTTCAACGGTCAAGCTGTCCTAGCATGAAGGATCATCCATTAAGATTCGCATCGTCGATCAAATTCTTATTAGGTCGAGTATTCCTCCATCGATAGATTAGAAATCTGGCTCAACGATAAATGAGAAGGATACTTTGTAAGATGTAGGTACTAAGAAACTCACAGTAATATTACTTCTAGCAAATGCTTTCATAAATCGAGGACGATTAATCGTGCGAGTATTATCGATTCTTTATCTTCAAAGGAATGAATTGCATTCGTACCCAATGACTTGTCCGAAACGAGGACGAATTAATCAAACTCATAACACATTAATCGGGAAAAACTGGATCTCATATCTCTAAATGTGTTTGTTATTAAGAAATATAAAGTCAAGGATAACTAATAGGACCGACAAAAATGTGCAATGACTTCATTTCGATACGCATGTAGCAGTTTATCCGTTATGTTAAATTCTCGAATAAAAGTTAATTTAAAAAAGATGAAAAATAAAATTTCTTAACAAAAAAGTAGATTATTATATATTATTGCAAATTAACGGAAAGTGATTTTTCTTTTTTTTCTTTTGATGTATACAGTTGGATCAGAATTTTCTAGTTAGTTATTTTTTTCTTTGTTGACGATAAGTCTCTTATCATCACTTTCCACATTGTCGTACGTCGAATCCGAGTCCTTGTCGTAATGGAATTCTCACGGTGTATTGAAAGGAATAAAAGGAAGTGACCGAAGGACGTTCTACCATGAGGATTTTCTCTTTATCTCTTTCCATATATGTATATGTCTTAAAGAAGACAGAAAAATAAAAAATAAAAAAGAATAAGAAATAGAGAAAAAGAGAGGAAAAGAGAGAAATATGCTAATTTAAAATATCCTGTCATGTCGGGACACTGTGCGTGGAACAAGCGTTTTGTTCTATCAAAGTTAATTTTTTTTCTTCTTGGTTAGCCACACGTGAACCAAAGTGATTTGACATTTTTGAAAATGTTTAAATCGATTGATTATACGCTTTAACAACTCGTATTAATAAATATTAGAAGAAAAATAATATATTTTACTCGTATAATAAATTAAGGGGACGTTCTACTCTGCAATTTTTAAAAAATTAAATTTTTTTTTTTTACATTTTTCGAATGTATATACACGTAGAAATATTGTGTTAAAATTTCAAAAAGATCTGATGTCTCTAACTACATTTTTTTGCTGCCTGAACGTTACTATCTCGGACCGCTTTCCTGAGCGTTTGGCGCGCACGGTTCTTATATCGGCTACGGAGACTCCAAGACTTTTAAAATGCTGCTTTATTATCATCCATACGGTGAAGATTTCATTGTTAAAAAGTTGAAGTGTATTTTGCATGTGACAAAACATATTTTTAAACGCGCTAATAAGGCAAGAAAAGCTCTCATACAAAAGAAGAAAATTTAAAAGAAAAACGCCGAACAGCAAAAAAAAAAATAAGAACTGTAGTAAAAACAGTAGTGAAGAGAAAAATGACTGTTGTGAAAAAAGTTCCTGAAGTAAAAACTAAAAATTTACAATCAAATTGATGAAAGAACTCTCAGAGATCTACGGTTTATCAGTCAGAAGAAATTTGAATTCTTCATAGGATATGCGTAACGAGATTTGGGCAGGATACTACCNATAAGATAAGATAATAACTAATATAACTAAGAAAATATAAGTACATTGAAATAACATTAATAAACTTTAGAAAAATTTTCAACAGTGATATAACGGTATTCAGTTAAACAATATCACATATAACATTTTTTAATTTACGCTTGATAATATAAGCATTATTCATCATGTCATATATTATTAAAGTTGATATTATTATAAATTATAGAGAAATGATAATTTAATTAACGTTTTCTGCAAATAAATTAAAGATTGATAAATATAATTTTTGTTTGTCAAATTAGACCATCCTTTACAATGCCGAGATAATAATAAATGTCAATGATAAAAATTGATTAACATAATATATGATGATAGTCTCGTCAAATAGGACATCGAAATCGTAAAAATTATCTTGAGACGGATCTCGGTCCATTGTAAGAGATCGTGTATGCCGTTATGAATCTCTAGTTATAAAACGAGTCCTCCGGTAGACCCGAGCACCGCTCTCTGAGTGAAGCGCATAACTGTATCCTTTCACGGAGAGTACGCGTACATCAGAAATGAGACGAGATAGTAGTAGGGTTGTGAGGAAAAAAACACATACATACCCAGACACACGCCAGAAAGATAAACAACAAAGAAGTTGTAAGTGGCCGAAATAAAAGATGACAATATAGACCGCACGCTTTTACTCTAAAAAAAATTCAACTTCACATTATTTACTAAAAAGTGAAATTAACAGAACAATTTATATCTTTTAAGAAATTACGCACTATAATCAGAAAAATAAAAGAACGTGCATAGTCTCCAGGAACAATAGATATGCATCTCGTATTATCAATGAGAAAAATAATTAATTGATTCATATATACAATGAATGTCCCTTAATATCGTTCACGTGGAATAATATAAAATACATTAGTTTAAAAATTATATATCTATTAATTTTCTTCGAATATACAACTCAAAATCATGAAGTCACTAATCAGGAACGTTAAAACAAATGTATATTAGTTTAAACAATCCTAAATAAAAATAGAGTACAGTAATGTATTAGATTTACCTTAATTATTTGTTAATTAATCGAAAAAAATGTTTAATGTAGACTAAATTCACGGAATATAAGTTCGACGTACCGTCCTGTTCGAAATTCACTTTCAGACTGGCATGTTGTCCTTTATCAAAATACTTTTATTCGATGTTGTTTATATGACTGTTCAAACGCTGGGCATATGTGAAATGGTAATAATATTCTTAATAAAGAGAATTAATTCCTAATTAATCGATGCGAATTTCTACTGTTGCCTAAAAGCTCGGAATAAATGATATATGTACCTTGTTCTTCGAGATTCACCTTCAGACTGGTTATCTTCCAGTCTTCCATTCCTATCCTCTATCAAAATACTTTTATTCAATGTTGTTTATATGACTTTCTGAACATTACACATGTGTGCAATAGTAATAATATTCGTAATAAATAGAATTTCTTTATTAGGAAAGTCATATAAACAACACTTAACAAAAGAACTTTCACTGAAGACAACGTGCCAGTTTAATGGTGGATTTAACCTTTGCTTACCATACTTGGTCCAAAGGACCCAGACCTTTTTTGCAACTTGAGTCATTTTTCTCAATTGTTCAACTTTGGTAATTTTTTAAACATATTTAAATTTAATTTAAAGCTATAAAACCTATATAGTCTTTTTAAGTAAGTATTAAAGAAGTCTCAAAAAAATGTTGAAGTAAATCTATGCAAAAGTTTCTTTTTTATAACAATTTTTCTCCCCGGGTCCAAAGGACCCGGGTGTGGTAAGCGTGTTACTACAGGAAAGGTGGTAAGCAAAGGTTAAAAGAGGATGGTGCACTGAACATATATTCTGAGCTTTTAAACAACAATAGATATTTCCTTCGATTAATTAACAATTATTTTGACACTCTAATACACCCTACTTACATTATAGGAAAATTTTACCCTCGAAGTCATCACTGCACAGGTGCGATGAAATAATTACGTTAGAATGATAAAAATATTAAAATCAGAACGTTATAAACTTAAAATCTCTTTATTAGGAATATTGTTACCATTCCACACATGAGCAACGTTCGGAAAGCATATAAACAAAATTGAATAAAAGCATTGTGGTAGAGGACAATGTACCAATCTGAAGGTGAATTTTGAAGAGGATGGTGTTCCGAACATATATTCCGAGCTTTTAAATAACAGTAGAAATTTCCTTTGCTTAATAAACAATCATTTGAAGTATATTGAATATTTTCAAGGTATGTCACATTCCCATTCACGTATCTCATACATGCAACACTCATATACAACATTAACACTAGAACTTTTCATAATTTTGCGACTGTGAGTTTTATCTCACTCCTCTTTTCATATCATTTAATAAAATATTATCGTTACCGTCGCCTAAAAAGTTTTATTTCAGTAAGCGTAAACATTTGTATTATTTTAAAATAATATTATGAATCGTCAAATATTATTTTCGTGTTGCAGCGCATTCCTATCTTTATATCTTAAGAATGTTATCTTATTATTTACCAAGAGAATCAACATGCGGGGATTCCACGATGAAAGCTTGCCGATAAGAAGAACAGTGCCTACGCGTGGATTTCCTTTTTTTATTCTCTCTTTCTCTCTCTCTTTTTCTCTCTCGAGGGAAAGACACAATCGACTTTCGCATCGGTTGCGACAGTTCCGCGTTGATATTCGGTGTCGTACGACTCACAGAGCCAGGATGATATCAATAAGAAAGATCTGCTCGTAAGATTGCTTGCGTAACGTATATCTTCTATAGATCGTAGTAGCAAAAGGTGAGAACCTTTTCCTTTTTATTGACGTTGGAAGAGGAGGCCCTAACTGTAAGAGAAAGGAATCAAACGGATTCGACTTCGTTTCCGTAGATCATCGACGAGCTGAAACGAAACCAGTATCTACTTACTTCTCTTGGCATTGTTCCTTCAACAAAATTATTCTTGAAAATTTGCAATCTATGGTAAATGCAGTAAGTCATCGTACCTTTGAATGGGTATACTGTGAACGAGCCTTTAGAAAATTCATCCGTTTGGAATGCTGAGTCGACGCGTGTAACGGCTACGGTATGCGCCAGTGGAAGTTCGATGCGCGTTCCTTTACTCATGGTGTATGTACGTATGAGCGCACATTTACAAACAAACACACACGAAAGCTACCACGGAAAATTATTTTTACGTTCTAGGAATTTTCTATCGCCCTTTCTTATCTACTTACAGTGCTTATTGCTCGCGGAAGGATTTCAATGTATTTAACGAAATGTTACATTCATGGTGAAACGGTGAAAAAATTCCAATTCAAAAGTAATTATTATTTTCTTAAATTAACAAAGTAAAGATTTACAATGACGACAACAACGAAAGAAAAATCTTTGGTTAAAAATCTATAGAAAATAAAAAGAAATATTACGAATACAAATTAACATAAGACACGTTAGATTATTTTCTTAAATCAATAAAGATAATATATTACGATGACGATGATAGAGTCATTGTAAGTCTTTGGTAAAGACCTTAGGTGATCTATAGAAAAATAAAGGAATATATATTTCGTCCTCGACTTAAAGGTACGAGAAGGCTTTCGGCTCGAGGCTGCCGATCTTGAATGCGGCATGAGCCCTGGCGGCATTGCAACACGTGTTTAACACCCACGTGATACGCTTACGGGCGTCGTCGCGGCGGCATCGACGACCAGGAGGTGGTCCCTTCATGATTTATCGATCCTATCGATCCTCGAGTACGATGTCGTGCCGCGATCCCGATTGCGAGAGACTCTCGAAACTCCGACCATTCGTGTTCAGAAAGATCGCTCGTTTTTCTTTCTACGGTTATTCTCTATAGGCTGATTCATATTCGAATAGTAGAGATATGTAAATATTAAATCGTAGCTATGAAATTAGAATAAAAGAACTTGTTCTTCGTCGAGTCGAGTTGTGCATAAGGGAAAACGATAAAACTTTTTCCATCAATGGGAAATAAATTATTCGACGAAATAAAATCTTTTTCCCTTCAGACTTGAGCTTCCCTTTTTGAACGTCGCTTTAAAGCCAATAGGATGGTAGTTCTTCATGGTGTAGTTTGCGCTAAAAATATAACGTCTGACGATAACTTTAAGTGCCGCGAGTAGTAAAAGCTCGAGAAGGGGACACCGTAATCCGTGAACGTTGCGCGACGAAACCGCAAGCATAAAATTGGCAATAAAGTTTACGGAAAGACATGTACACACGCATGCATATATACATATATATATAAAGATATATGTACATATATAAATGCATTCATATGTACATGGTGGACAGGAAAATTTCTTTTTCTTAAAATATCGTATATCGTCGTTCGTTTTAAACCGCTTTCGGCACAACGAAAGAAAGAGATAACGGATGGTGGTCCGTAGGATATATCGAACTTTGGTAATCTTAAAATACAATCAATGGGCGTTACAAGAAGAGAGGGAACGATGTTATTAGCCCCGGGGTACCGTGTGATCTCGATTTATGGTCGTTATGCAATTAGTCAAGTTCGAGAACTTTAATCATCGTTGGTCGCATATAACTATCACATATCATCCTTTTCAATTCTCGTTTTCCATTAAATCAACTTAAAGACGAAACAACCGTGAACTCTTTCAATGGTTTATCATTGAATCCTAGAAAGTAGCTCGGACTACTTATCCACTAATGTAATTAAGACTCCTTTCTCAGCAATACCAATTATTGCAACAAGACTGATAATTAAGTAATAAAAATAAATTTCTTTTCGATTGCAAAAAGAAGGTGTTAATTTAAAGGCTAGTCAAGTTAATTTCACCTCTATTACCAATTGATATTTAGAAACTCACTTATCTACAGATGAAAGATCGTAAATAAACAGGAATCGAAGGAATAGTTTAAGTCCCTAGTAACATAATCGGTTTAAACGATTTCTTTCTTTCTTTCTTTCCTTTTTTTAGATCTTATTGAAGAGAAGTACTAACGAGCAGTCACGATCTTGAAGTAAAACAAAGGGTCAAACAAGGTTACGTCTGGCAACCCTTTGAGGATGAATCGAGTTAAGGAGAAACGAATCGTTATCTCGTTCTGCTCACGATCGTTCGCGAGTCGATTTAATGGACCGTTCGTGGGCCATTCACTCTGCTTACCGCAAAACGATCCCTCGGATTCTATCCTTTCTGTGGCGAGAAATCGCGAGGACGTTTCCGCGATTGAAGGTGCACGATAAATATACACATTCCTACAAAAGCCAAGAATAAATATCTATTCGATGTATGTTTGTGTGTGTGTGTGTGTGTATAGTAATGTCTGGTCTTCTCGAGGAACCCAATTAAAGCGTTATTTATTGTTTCGCGCCCTTTATCGAACGTTACTTGAAAAATAAGATAGATTCGAATCCGAAGCATGAAGATCGCAAAACAGAGATTGCTGTTTGCTTTTCTCTATTCCATCGTACATCTTCTCTTTTAAAGTTAATCCTTATTCGGTTGTGCTTTTATCCACTTTTATCATCTAAGCAAACATATTTTGATTCTATGTGCTTGTATCATTTGAAGATAATATTATAAAAATTTTCATTTAACGTGACTGTACTTATTTACAGTCACTGCTTTTTTAAGCGTTATATTCACGTACGATGTAAAACTAAATAAAATTCTTTTATTCGTATCAATGAATGATATCGTACGATGCACATTCATCGATAGACGTTACTTGAATTTCAAACTATCCAACTATTAGCTTTTATTTTCAACGAATGGTAGGTAAAGGGGCATTAACCGTGAAAAACTTTGTGTACAATCGTGCGTTGATTTTTAACTAGAGAATTCATTTATAAATTCAAGCGTGATCGTAACGGTGAATGGAATCGAAAAGAAGTATCTTCGTTAAGAGAAGAGGAAAAGGATAGAAAGAGAAATGTAAAAGTATACCTTGGTAATTGGCCGTTCGTAATTAAAAAGAATGATAATGACGATGGGCAATGATGATGATGATGATGATGATGATGATGATGATGATGATGATGATGATGATGATAATCATGACGACCACGGTAATATTATTCCGCATTATATTCGCTCGAGAAAGCATGATGCGCTAAAAGAACGAACGGTCTTCTTCTCTCACCGATTTCAAAGTTGATCGATGGGTACGAAGCATTTGCCCACGATTTTATCATCGCTCATTTCGCGTTAAACCAATTGAATTTATTTCTATTCTCACGAACTTATTGTCAATCTATTTCTAGTTATTTACTTGGAATTTAATCGCATATTCGAAAGTAAGTACAAATAAAGATTTAAATGTCGTCGTATTTCGCATTTAATTACGAATAAATAATCATTTATTTTCTTTTTTCTTTTTTCCATGCAATTGATTTACAAATAGATATTAACGAGTGAGAGTTTGGAAACAACAAGAAAAAAAATACTTTAATTTGTTCGGTTGAACATTTCTCGTGCTAACAATTTCAATGAAATAAATTCCAACAAATTATTATTATTCGTATAGAAGACCATAGGGCGGATCCGGATGCAATTTGTCGACACATATGGGGACGGATTACTTTCATATTTACTTTCCACGAAGAGAATCTCAACATAGCGTTGGTGAAATTTCGCCACTCTCACAGAACGAATGAAAATTGTCGCGTGTTCTATATGTCCGTATGTAAAAAAAGAAAATTTATTTGGTAAATTAGTTAGAGACCGTTGTATTGAGTATAAAAATACTTGAGACATCTTTCGATTCCATCTTTCTCGATTAGGAAGGTACCTACTATACTAACGGTAAGTCGATCGTCGGATAAACGGTGTGCTCGTCCATCACGAACGACGACGATAATTGAACATTCGAGGAAATTGGTAATTACGAGCAAAAAAAAGAAAAAAAATGTCGACGAGATGGCAGAATGCATCTTTCATGAAATTGATAGCAACGACTTTCGACTTTATTGCTTTGACATTAAATCCATCCGACTGGACGTTCGAGAGTAAACTGGAATAGGTTGAATACAAATGTCGCGATAAAATAAAATCGTTCACGTCGACGTTATCGCTTGTAATTGTTGTATTCTAACTTTCTTTTTTTTACTTTTATCAATTGAAATTATTTTTAATCTCATTAGCCATGTATAACGAGATATTTACATCGGTAATAATAAGTAATGATACCGCGATCTAACCTAAGGGTTATACCATAA